CATTTTAATTATTCAATATAATTGTTTCAATCAATTAACTCTCGTTCTAGCTTAAGAGCGTTGTCATATTTCAATTAAAACATTTTACTCACGGTGACTAAGTCTGCCCAATGATGATAGACCTTATGCTTGTGCGCACTAGAGGTCCAGCCCAACACGCAGGAGCTGTAACGTTCACACGGATGCTACAGATTTACAAATTTAAATCTAGCTATCAGCCTATCATAAACACATGATTAGAGAAAGCTCAACATTGAGACTTGTTCCTATTGAAGTAGTGGTGGGTACTCTGAAGTTATTGGGGGGGGGGGGGGCACCACCACCCATCCAATGTTTTGCTCGTTGTTGACATGCATGACTTTAGGGATCATATTTTCCTAATTCTTTTGTTAATTTCTTGGCTTCTTTTTCATCCCCTTTAGCCTTTCATTATATGCTTTAATTTTTTCATGATATGATTAAGTCCTCAGTGATTACATGTTATTGACGACGTACTAATGGTATTTGGATTCTTTGTTGGTTGCAGGAACTCTCACACATCTCACCCATCAATAATTTCCTATTGTGACTCAGCTACATGTGACATATATACTTATATAATAATAGTCGACATTACAATTCAAATATGCTCTAAGGCGTTGTTTGTTTATTGGCATTTTGTGTCCAAACCGACGCAAATACCAGCGTTTTGCTTCATTAAAATAATGCTGATTTGCCCAAAACGCTGGTATCCAAACACTACCTAAATGAATACCATAAAATTTCTAAACTAAAGTTATACAAATTTTTAGTTAATGGAGTAACATAATCAGTCGTATGATTATCCACTATCATTAAAAGCTTTTTTTTGCTGAGTAATTTCAATTCACACAACTCAGGTTAAACTTATTATGTCATTCCAAATTTTATACTCCCTATGTCATTGTCACATAAATCGGCTGAATTAATTGATTCTGTTGAAATTAATGAAGTTCTGACTGAAATGACTGTATTGGCTGATTGTGCTGATTTATACAAAAAAAAGTAGCTAAATGATCATTCACTGTAACTTCAGTAAATACGAGCAGAAAAGTAACATCAAACTAACTTTTTCTTATTATTACACAATTTAGCGCACGAAATCAAAAGTTACGTGTTAAGTAAAAAATTGACTAGTAATTTTGATAAGTCCGAAAAACAAAAGGACCGGGTAGTTGACCATTTCAAAAATAAAGAAACAGTCGATACACATTTTTTTTGTACGCATGTAATACGTACATCGGTGAACAATTTTTTTTGTACGTGCCAAGTATTCTTTATTGGAAAAATAGACTAGGGAAAAGGGACAAAAAGACCCTCCAAGTTGTTACCAAAGGGCATATAAGCCCTTAAACTATTTTTTTTTTTGTGCAAAAAGCCTCAAAATAAGTGAAAGGAGAGCAACCAGCCCCTTACTAACGCTGAAGCAGTTAACGGAAGTTGATCCAAGTTGTTCCTTTGGTCATTTTAACTGTATGTTGCACAATTTTAATCTGACAATATTTTTTATATTTTTTCTTATAATTTCACTTTGTCCTCTATTAAAGAAGTAAATCTAGAATATTTTGGTCCTAAAATTATGACATATGTCATCTCTTTTTAAATAAGTGCAACATGCTAAATTTTACAATATTCACATGTTCTACTTTAACTACGCTTTATTTATTAATGTATCAATGATTTTTTTAAAAAAAAATTAATTTGTCTCATTGTAAATTTACAATTTCTTTTATGTTTTGATTAATAGAGAATTACACTTGCTCCGTCCTTGAATTAATTTTCAAATTTCCGTTTTCGTCAGTCTAAAAAAAATGCAACATAAATTGTGGTTCAAAACATATTTTACACATTGTTACATGTTTCCAGTACAATCTCCCAGTGGCGGATGTGGTAGTGTTCCAAGGTGTTCACATGAACACCCAAAATTTAATATATAATGCAAGTATATATGTGTAGTTTAATAAAAATCTATTTATTCTTCTTTAAAATTTTATTAGTTAAAACATTGAACACTTAAAAATTGGATCCTAAATCCGCCATTGCAATCTCCACTACACAATTTTTCTTTTCTCCATTCTCGTGCAAAAGCAAGATTGGAAGATAATTCAGGGATAAATGGAGTATATATTAATGGTCACAGTTATGCATTAATAAATATGAAATGTGAACTTTGACACTTATTTAAGAATGAGAGAAGTATTACCAAGTATTACAAAGTATTACGGAGTTGTCAATTCCTCCGTTATTCGAAAACACACATGATGCGGCTGTGCCTATGTCCGTGACCCAAGATAAAACATACTATACTTTAGTTTGATTCGGTTTGAATTTGTCACGTCTTAAAAATACAATAAGAATTTATTGATTTTTTAGCTCGATTCGATTTTATTCGGTTTTTAAAAATATACGGAATATTAAGAATGAGGAAGCGGTCCAACCGAGCTGGTCGCTGACTCACTCTCCCTTATGGGAGGTCTCGGGTCCGAAACTCAATGGAATGAGTTTCAGCCCCAATTACTCCAGGCCCCCCAGCCCCTCCCTCAGACGCCCTTTGAAGTAAAAAAAAGAAAAAAGAAAAAAAATGGAATATTACTCCCTCCATCCCGCTAAGATTGTCCCAGACACTATTCATTTGATCAACACAAATCACTCTTAATTTGTTACTTTATATATTTTTTTTTTATCAAATTTGATTCTGATTTTTGCGACTTTGTAAAGTTTTTAATGTAGTTTCTGAATATGTATTTTTTTTCTAAAAAAATTTCATTGAAGACATGGATTTGTTTGCTTTATTGTCGGTCAAACATCGTAAACCGAATTGTCACAAATATAGTGGGACAGATGAGTAAGAATTTAGTGAAAATATCTTATCACAACACAAGTGCTATCACGTTTATTGGGTTCACTGGATTATCATTAAACCAATTAATTTGTAGTGTATCTTTTTTTAATGGATATCTTGTATTTGTTAATCATGATAAATTGACAACCGCATAATACTTCTCCCGTTTTAAAATAAGTATCAAAGTTCACATTTCATATTTGTTATTGCATAACTTTGACTATTACGTAGTAACATATACTCCATTCGTCCCTGAATTATCTTCCAAAGTTGGTTTTGCACGGGAATGAAAAGGCGAAAATTGTATGGTAGAGCGTTATACTGAAGAGCGAAGAATGTGTAAGAATGTGTAAAACATATTGTGAACCATAAATTATTTGCAAAAGAAAAGATTATTTTGAGACAAACAAAAAAGGATATTTGAAAAATTAATCGAGAGACGGAGCGAGTATAATTCTCTAGAAATAAAAAATAAAAAAAATAAAATTACAATGAGACAAATTTAAAAATATTTTTAAAAATAATAATTTATTAGTACATAAATAAAGAAAGTATAGTTAAAGTATAGCATGTGAATATTTTAAAATTCAACATCTAACATTTTCAAAAGAGAGCAAATATATCCTCGTTGTAGGACCAAGCTAAATTAAAAGAAAAAATATACGTAGTAAACAATTATCTACATACGGACATACGGTCATAATACCCAAAGGAAGCAAGGAACCACTTCCGTTAACTGCTCACCGTTATTAAGGGGGTGATTGCCCTCCTTTTATTGCTTTTTAAGCTTTTTTGCACACACAAACTTTGTTAGTAATATACGGTTCATGAATAATACAATAATACGCACGCTCGTGTATAATGCGATACAATTATATAAAATACGGCTAAATATATGTTTCATACGTTCGTGAAATGCATAAAGATACGAACGTGTTTTAAACGTTTCATAATTTAAAAATACGGCATATAATATATGTCTTATAGACTAATTTAATGATGAGAATAAAGAGTAATTTAGCATATGCACCACATTCTTCAACAATTTAAAATGTACGGAATAGTTTTTTCAGATATAAAATTTTAATTCATAGGTACAATAATTAATAAAAATGATATTTCCTATTTATGTAGAAATAAAGAGATATTTCTAGAGAATTGTTTAATTACTGTGGCCGTAAATTTGGTGAGCCGCCATAATAATCTTTTCTCTTTGGAGTCTTTGTGTGAGTAGATAACAAGAGTAACACAATAGTAGTCCAATAGTAATATCGAAACGAGTTATGACTTAAGAAGCTAATTTATTAAATCTTATGATTATTAAACAATTAATGAACATATAAGACATAATAATTTTTTAAGCAATATAAATAGTATTGAGCAACTAGACATTTTGCTTCAGTTGTACCACTCCATTAGGCTTCAGATTAATGGTGTTTCTTTAATAAAATACGTAACAATACATACGGTACGTGTATTATACATTTTACCTTTAAAGTACGTGAATTTTTCAGTATTTTCTGAAAAATTCATAAACGGGAGTATAATACGCGAATTATACGTTTGAGTGTATTATACGTGAATTATACGTGAATAAACTAACAGAGCACACAAATAGTTTAAGGGCTTAGAGCATCTCCAATGCAAGGGTGTGGTCTCTTACACACCCTTACACATGGGTCCCATTTTTTATCTCACAAATTTTATGTGTAGGACCCACATATTTCCCAATTTATTTTCATTTTCATTTTTTTATATCACTTTTAACCCACTTTTCATCAACTTTTCCTCCTCGAATCCCGTGTAAGGTCCATATATGGACCTTGTCATAGACCTTGGTCCATTTTTACCTCTATCTCTCTCCTCTTTTTCATTTTTCCCTACACATCACTTCATCCCAATATTTATTCTATCTCTATCTCTCTCCTATGCCACATCAGATGCAATGCACCCTCCCATTGGAGATGCTCTTAGATGCCCTTATCGGACAACTTGAAGGGGTTTTTTCCCCCTTTTCCCAATAGACTATTTGGAGACAAAAAAACAGCCTATGTACGAGGTATGCAGAACAAATGTACAAGTCTCCTGAAAATAGCATAAGACAACATATAAAACGATAACATCATGCGGGGACAAACAGAATTAGTCAACGGTATAATGATTGTGGTTCAGTGGATGTATTAGACAAGTACTTCGTATATAGATGTGAGTGCCTGAGTCCCTGAAGGAATCATGAAATCGCCATGGCTACAGACGAGTTTCAACAATGGGAAATGCTCCAACCCAGCTCCGAGTCAGATTCTGAAAGCCAAACCAGCACCATGCAAACCAGAGCTGCTCCGGATCTTATGATTCGCAGCTATTACTTTTCCCTTCCTGATCACGATCAGTGTAACCGAACCCCGAATTTCGCCGACCATGCGACGGAGACGGCGGACCCGCCGGAGATTTCTGACGTGATGCAGGAGACCGGAGAGAATGGCACCCTCGTCGACGAGGACATTCATGAGGTAGAAGGCGGGAATTGGAAACTCATCGAGCAATTCAAGTCGGGTCGGGGCGGAAGTGAATTTGGTAGGACCAAGTTGGAAGAGTTTGAGGACATGGGGTTACTTGTAGTTGAAAAATACGAGAGTTTGAGTGATGAGTCAGAGGGATTTGCAGACGAAAGGCACATTGAGGAAGTGGAGAAGAAGGCAGAGGTGGTAAAGGAGAGTGTTGAAGCGTGGTGGAAGGCGCCTTTCGAGCATTTTAACAGCTTTATACTCGGGATTAAACCCGTCTGGAGCTTCTCTGTGGCTGCTTCTGTGATAGGATTTGCTATCATTGGTAGCCAAGTGTTCAAGGCTAGAAAGAAGACTACAAGCTTAGAGGTCAAGATTATGATGGATGACAAGGTTAGCTATTTTTTCTGATGAAGTTTTCTTTTGGTAGATGATTCTTCCCATCCCTTTACTTTAGTGTCTGTTAAATGATCTCTTACTTTCCTGTCTTTGTAAATTAGAGCTTAAGGGACTCACCTACTGAAGTAAATATTAATGTAGGTAGTCTGTTAGACTAAACCAAGCAATTTCACCCGGAAAGCCTAAAAAAGAGTACATGGTCTTCAAGTGATTGATTATCATGAATGATCCAGCAGTCCAGTGTTTTAATGATCCATTATCTTTGTCCCATATGGTAAGTAATAGTATCACGAAGTTTGGATTTTTTTTAGCAGCATACAAGTACTCAGGGTACTACTATTATGTTGACATTTTCAACCATTCTTTTTGTACACTTTTTTCTTCTCCTTATACACACCTCTGTGAGAAGGATATTTTTTTGTCAGACAAAATATGTGTTGAATTATATTCACGTACATGTTTTTGTAATCAATACCGGTAACCACGCGTTTTAATCTCTGGATCCGGTTCCCCCGAAATATGACCTGACCAGCATCTTTAAGTTGTATAGATTTATAAAATTAAAATAGCCTAAAATTCGGGTTGGAACTGGACCGAAAGCACCCAGTGTCAGCCTCTCTATATGTTATTCACTGTTTTGATAGGAGGGAGTCTAACTATTTCACTAAACATTTTGTGCATGTACAGAAAAAGGCGTCTGAGTTCATGAGCCGTGCAGCCCACCTTAATGAGACATTATCAGTTGTGAAGCCTCCTGTGACCCGACCTCAGTTAACCACAGTGGCAGTGGCATCTTGGTCTTTTATGACTAATCTTGCTCTGCACGAAGCATGAATTTCTGTTGTTTTTTTCCTTTTAACAATTCCAGTTCTAGTTTATATGTATATGTAGTTGTAAAATAGTGTATAAGTTCCGATGTTGCACTTTTGTTGTTGCACTTTTTTGTGAACTCAGAGTAGTAAATGGCATATTGTTGAAGTTGAAATAGAGGCATATATTCTCAATAAGATTGCTTTCATACCCATTTATGCTCTTGCATCGCTTTGGTTCTCTACATGTTCCCATGCAAAATGAATTAGATGACTTCTAATACAAATCTTCAGGGACCAAAGGTTGGATGTTATTGTTGTATTGCATAAAGAAACATTAGGGTGTAGGAGAAAAATGTACAAAGTGAGATTAAGTGAGTTTATGATCAAAAGCAATTGTATTTCATTGGCAAGCGTCCTCATCTTGCTTGTGTTAAAGTAGTATGGTCATGCTAATCAGACGGTCGAATCAGAGTCGGGTTTTATCTATTGATATATAGTTCAAACACTCAAATTTTTGCTTCCTTATTTGCACTATGTGTTTATTCCAAAGGTTAGGTCACGTCATGCTTAGCTATTCATTTAGGTGTGCATACTGTCTCGGACTATAACCTGACCAGACCCACCAGGTTATTCGACCAGAAAACATAGTTATTTAAACTTACTTAGTGGTACGGCACAGGATGCATTAACTTGATTTTATTCCGGTCTGGTTCATGTTCACCTATAATACGACAATACCTGCCGGTTCTTGTTAAACGTCTGTTTTGCACATTATTTAACGTAATCTATGCAATCGCATGGGACTGAACCAGAATCAGTTCTGGAGTCAAAATTAAAATTTAACCTTTGGGCCTAGTTCAACTACTTGAATTGTTGTTGACTGCTTCTGCAATCGGCATATCCACATATGTGTTTGCACCTGAGGGTAGGTCATGTCATGTTGGGGCTTTTCGATACGGAATCGTACGGACCGATTCGTAATTAGTACCAGTAACCATGTGTTTTAGTGTCTGGTTACGGTTCCCCCAAAATATGACCTGACCAGCATCTTTAAATTTTACGGAGTATCAGATTTTTTAAAATTAAAACACATGACAAATTCGGGTTGTAACTAGACCAAACCCGCCCAATGTCAGCCTCTGTAGATGTTATTCACTGTTTTGATAAGAGGGAGTCTAACTATTTCATTAAACATTTTGTGTGTGTACAGAAGAAGGTATCTCAGTTCATGAGCCATGCACCCTGCGTTAATGAGACATTCTCTGTTGTGAAGCCGCCTGTGATCGACCTCAGTTAACAACAACAGGAGTGGCAGCTTGGTCTTTCATGACTAAATTTGCTCTAAAGGAAGCATGAATTTGTGTTGTTTTTCTTTTAACTAGTCTAGTTCTGGTTTATATGTATATTTCGTTGTAAAATAGTAGTATATAGGTTCAGTTGTTGCACTTTCGTTGTTGTTGCACTTTTTGTGAACACAGTAGTAAATGGCATATTGTTGAAGTTGAAATAGAGACAGATATTAGCAAAACAGGTCTGAAAATAAACTAGCACAATCACGCCAAACAGCAAAAAACAGCTACATACTTCACTTAATAGCTAAATAACGGATATTAGCAAAACATGTCTGAAAATAAACTAGCACAATCACGCCAAACAGCAAAAAACAGCTACATACTTCACTTAATAGCTTAGCTAAATAACGGATATTAGCAAAACATGTCTGAAAATAAACTAGCACAATCACGCCAAACAGCAAAAGACAGCTACTTCACCTAATAGCTGAATAACAATAGTCATATTAAGATCTTATTTACCCCCTACAGACACAGGCAAAAGAAGCAAAAGGAGGAGAACATCATGGATTAGTTATGCGATCCATGATATTTGCAACAACAGCCTTTGATTTCTTCAGCAGCTCGAAGCTGTTGGTTAACCGGCAACGCTTCTCAGCAGCCAGAGGGCACTCATCCAGCATTATCCTCTCGATGCCTCCTCCACCCTGAGGTCCCATCACCTCTGCAGCAATGGCCTCCTCCATCTCCTTGCTCACCATCTTGTGGATGGCAAACTTGATGTGCATTGCCATTGCATCCACGAGCCTCATCAACACAATGTTCCAATAGGCAACCATCCTCACTTTAAGATCAAACGCTTGTGGCACAATTGCCAGATGGCACCTCAGGTGAGCTGTCTCTATCCCTTCCCCAATTCGATCAATATTCATCACTGAATGCTTACTTTGATCTGTCATGATCTCCATGAATTCTGCTTGCTTGGCCATCATCTTGTTACAGCTCGCAATGTATTCCGGATTACTAGTATAATCCGTGTGAGTTTCCATTCCTATCATCTCTTTCACCCATTCAACCGACACCTGCTTCTTCCTCGCAACAAGATTCTGTGCAGCTTTCCTTGTGTAAGACTGGAGCTGCGGGTAGCACTCAGATTGCTGCATCAAAAGCCTGACCAGAACTTTCTCAATGTAATCCCAGATCCGGTCGACGAAATCTATGGGTATCCCGGAAACTGACTTGACTTTATTCTGCAGCATGTTAAGGAAAATCCCTCTGTGAAGGAAATTCTGGAGATGAATCCCCTTTGACTCCTCCAAGGCTGAGATTTCCTCCATCAGAAACTCTGCTTCACCCTTTGATGGATTTCCTGATGACCTCAACTCGAGGGAGTAGTCGTTGAGCATCTCCACCAGCCTGGCGGTGCAATGCATTTCTTTATCCTCAGGGTATTCGTCAAACTCGCCAATCACCATGATTTTCTTCAAAGAGTCCTTAGCTGAGCTTAGAATGCGCATGAATGATGTCAAGGCTTCCCCTCCTGAGTTCAGCTTCTGCGGCAGCCGGTTCAGGTCGGCTACATTGGCTGCCAACCTGTCATTGATTTTCTTTATGATTTGAGGCAAACACTTTGTGATGATTCCGGCTTGAATCCTCACCAGCTTCTGAGCCAGAACCGGGACTGAAACCATGGACTTGTCAAGCTTAGATAGCAGAGGGTGAGTCCCAAAAATCAAGCTTTCAGCCATTCTTGCCTCCGCATACCCTTCCTCGCCTACCCTGTTTCGGACACAGACGTAACCCAGTCCGATGTTGACGTCATCGGCCGTGACCTTCTCCAGAAGCCCTTCCGGAGCTTTGTCAACCTTGGTGACCACCGCAAGTGTCCTTTCCCCGGACTTGTCCACTTTCTGGGACATCCTAATGGACTCGCACGTGGGGAAATCCACCGTCGCAGACAGGACGTTGAGGATGATGCTCTCTTGCGGGGCTATGTACTCCATGATGATGCCTGAGATCTGCTCGTAGATGTCGGCGGGCTGGCCATGAACCGGAACTCGAGTGATTCCGGGCAAGTCAATCATGGTCAGGTCAGGAACTCCGTTCTTCCTCACGACCAGGGTCAACGGGGTGTGGGAAATCCATTTCCCGAACCCGGCAATCTCCTCGGTGGCCTGTCAATCTGAAGGCTCTCCCTGTGCATACCCTCAAACCACCGGGCCTATCCATGCGCCCATGCCCTGATACACTCCGCATACCTAAAATGAACTTTCCTGAAAGAGTAATTTGGCTAAATCATTTCCTGTCAAATTATATGTACACAATTTAGTTTATTTAATTTTTTCTTGAAATTCAACACTATTAATATATTCATTCAACATTTTTTTAATTAAATTCTTACTTTTATCATTATTATACTTTAATTTTTCCAATTTTTGCGAATAATTATAATTTTAAAAGTCCAAAACATTCTGATGTAAAAGGAAAAAATAAACTTAGAGTTTATATTTTTGTTGATACTTAAGGCATATTTAAAAGAAATTAAAGAAAGATGTAACAACATTTAACCATGAAATCTTTATTTTAGTATTTGGATATATTTAAATATAATAAGTCTGAAAATCTCCAGTAGTTAAAACTTAATTTTTTTAAACTTTATATACGAAATACTGATGTCATATGAAAAAATATGTCTATGACTTGTTCAGTTTTTATATGAAACTAGTAAAAAGTCATAAAAATATAACTAACAAAATCGGTTTGGTTGCTATATAAAAATTCAAGAACTGTTATGAAACTGAACCAGTACTAAACGATTAGGTTCTTACTGTTATTGGTTCCTAAAACTATTTTCTTTTCTCATAAAAAATTAGCACAATTTACTTTCTACCACATAAACATGTCAAAAATTAACACAATTTACAAAAAGCTTTAATCGCTCCAAGTTCAAACTTAATTTAGTAAATACTTGGTAGAATGTTTTTATTTAATTTTCATTTGTAATAAAATATGTTGTTATTTGATACCAATAAAGGTTTGATATCATAGTAGAAGGAAACAAGACGTCTAGTTCAACTACTACCAAACTTAAAAAACATATTGAATACGCATGTACATATATAAACATTACGGAGTATTAAATTTGAGATCTTTGAAGCTCTATATACAATAAATCTCATAATTAAAATCATCTTGAATATCAAGTAAAAATACATTATATTGAACCAACATGTATTTGTTTGGGTCACTTTTTGTATTACGAAACTTACGTGATGTAACATGAGTTAGTTTTCAAAAAATGAGTTTAATATATTCATTCTCATATACGATAATTTATAACTTTCATTTTCATCAGTTCAATTTATACTATTGTGCGGCTAAATGTTATCAATTATATTATTGTTAGTGTTATTACTAGTATCGTTACTAATATTATTGTTAACATTATTATTATTTCTATTTGTATTATATTACTACGTACTACTTATACTTTCAATTTTTTTAAAGGTTTTTTGTTTTATTAATAATGGTTCATTAAGGGTTCCTTAGACGTATTCCTTTTAGGAACCAGAAATCGAACCGTTAACCAGGATTAAGAATTGAACCGTTAACAATTCATTAAGGGTTCCTTAGACATGAATATCAGTAAAAATTGGTATTGGACAAAAAACTGACATTTTTTCCTAGTTTCCAAAAATGTGACTCATAGACCCATCCTTTACTCATATATGACTCTTGGGCTGCACCAGTACGACCCTAAAAACTTAGGAAGGGTAATTGAGTAAAGGATAGGTTTATGAGTCACATTTTTGGAAACTAGGAAACAATGTCACTTTTTGTCCAATACTATTTGTTTTTATTAATATTCATGTCCAAACCCCTTATGAAAATTAGAGACCAAAACAAGGCTCATTGTATCGGTCTGAGTCAAATTTTTATATCCCGAGTTCAATTTGAGTTTGGGTAGGGCTGGTTAAATCCCAGACAAGGATTCTATCACTTTGTCCTTTTATATTTTGAAACCTAATTTCACATAAAATTAAATTACAAATAATATGACAAATATTATTCTATAAACTCACCAATAACTCAAATCTAAACCAAATAATTTATCTTAATGTTGTGTTTAAAATATAATAAATAATAGAGGTTTTTTGAAAAATATTAATAAATAAAATTTAATTTACGAATAAAAATGTGACTAAAGTTAATATGAATTACTATAGTACACAAATTGAGCACTGTTTTATTCACTGATAGTCACTTTCTTTGTCCAACATGTTTATTCTAGTTATATATGAGGAATTATTTCTAAATAATAATGGCATATTGTATTGATTTTATAATAAAAGTAATTATTTCAGACTTTAGCAGGTCCGGGATAGGTTATAGATTTTAGGAACCGCTAGTTAAGCCGACTTTTCAGGTTCGGTGCGGTCATTTTTCAAACCATAAAAAAACAAAATAAAAACAAAAAACAAATTGGCCATATCTTCCAGGCTGGGTTAGGATTGATTTTTGATTTTCGATTCAATTTTTTCCACCCCTACATTCATTTCCTTAAAAGAGAAAAAACTAGATGTACGTATTGTACATCCCCTATTTTGCTTGTGTAATACTCTTCAATACATGTCTCTTTCTATTTTGGGCTGTTATTTAATACTAGTATTTGTCTCTCTTTCCATTTTTGAAAGTTTTTTCAATAAATATATCTATATATCCTTATTCTCTTTCCTATTTTTTCTTTCTATTTCCTACTTTTTTTTATTCAAACACAACTCATTACACCTTTTACAATACCCCTATTATTTTCCTCTTAAACTTGTGTCAAACCCTAGCCTATAAGGCCATCTATTGGAGAACGGATGGAGTATTCATTTCATTTTAAAAAATTAGCAATTTTCTATATATACATGTGAGTGTACAAAAAGTGTGCACTTATTATGTACACCAAGAATTACTCGATTGTACAATAAGTGTGCACTTATTATGTACACCAAGAATTACTCTTAAAAAAGTCTAATGTGAGCCCCTTAAATAATTAAAACTATTTAGTTATAAAACAATTATATAAAATCCTAGAATGTTTTCATTAAACTGATTTTTTCTAATCAATCTAGTTGATGTCAATTGGATTGGTCAAATCTAATTAAATAGATGTCTGATTCATGCATAGTTTACTACTCCATATTATCTTAATTTAACATGATCTCACTTATTCAGTTAATTTGATCCGACCTTATTAACTTTGATTTGATTTGAGACGTAAAAGTGAAAACTTTCTTACTTATTTATTTTTAGTTGACAAGTGAAATATGAAGGTAGAAATGTGGGAATTAATTCCACTTTTAGTCTACGAGTTTTGTGTCAATTCCGCCTTTAGACCGTATCTTTCACATTGTCCACTTTTGATACTTGACTAATGTTTTTTTAACCATTTGTGGTTCTTTTCGGGCGATTTTAACTATCGGAAACAATGTCGGAAGGACCATATATGGGCGAAAACACAATAGTCATGTATCAAAAGTGGACAAAGTGAAAGATGTGGACTAAATATGGAATTGACCTAAAACTCAGAGGACCAAAAGTGGAATTAAGGTAAAAATGTGGTGGGTCAAGTTATCCCAAATGAGAGAAGTACGGAGTATTAATTATGAATTGAGAAAAAAGTTACTCCGTAAATAAAAGTGATAATTATTTAATAATACTCAACTAAATCAATTGAGTGAAGTTTGGAAAGGTGGTTGTAGTATATTTTATTATTAAAATAAAAATAAATACTTTGCAATTTGAAAAGATTTGTTATTCAGAACAACAAAAATATTGTAGGAGCGTTAGTGAGTATTTGATGAGTTACTATTTGCTTTCGGGTTTGTTTCAGAGGGTTCACCAAAAGATGGCTTCTCTGCGGGAGTTCCGTGTTAGCTATTAGTTATTATTCTCATTAGTTTTTGCATTCATAAGTGTTGTTTTTCATTGATCTTTAATTAGATTCATACCCGCCCTCCATTAATAGTGATGGTAACTTTTCATTAAGAATATTAATAAAACTTTCGGATAAATGGTCCGTGAACTATCATCAAATATCATTTTGGTTCTTGAACTATTAAATCTATTATTTTAGTCCTTAATTTATTTCATCTATGTTAATCGAGTCCTTCTGTTAAATTTGTCGTTGACTTTGACGGAAGCTAATTAATTTATTTACATCTTATAACTTTAAACATTTTGGAACAATACAATCATTCTTAAAATTTAAGTGCCTAATCTAGTTTTTGTTTTAAATATACATATATGTACACATACACATATAAAAAAATATAAATAAAGAATATAAAATCAAATGTACGGCCTAAATAATACGTAGTATATAAGAAAGAATCAAATAATAAAACATATACATATGAGCAGATAAAATTAAATAAGAAAATGAGGGTGATTGTTAATATTATTAATTATATTAAGAAATAATTAAAACTACGTATAACTAAAATTCATCCACTTTCTCAATACATGACCTCATTAGTCCCCCCCCGTATTACAATTCATAATATTTAGTAAAATAAATAAAAATAGATAAATTTTATGGACTAATTTGCCCTTACATTTTTACCAGAATATACTCGTAGATTGATATTATAAAACTATAACTTCCTACTCATTTTCTAAAAACCACATCGCCGCAGCGTCTGATGCCCACATCGCCTAGGCATGGATCGGGCCAGGCCTGACCGGGCTTTTTTAGGGAAATTTGAGGCCCAAAACCGGCCCGGGTTTTCACCGGGTCTGGGACGGCCTCGGACCGGTTCAATTTTTTTTGCTCTTCTAATTAACCCCCGACCCCCCACCCTCACCCCCCAAAACACACAGCCCAACCCGGGAAAAACAAAAAAAAGTTGAAAAAAAAGAATAGGCCCGAACCGGTCCTGGCCCAGCCGGGCCGGTTCCTATCACTAGTAGAAAATTGCTTTACAGTGACACTTTTTTTGTGATACTTTTTTTCAAAGTGTCACTAGTAGATGACTTAACTAATTAGTGACATGTAAGTGTCATTAATGTGTGATACTACAACATCAATAAATACTTGTGACACTAAATAAAAATTTAACATTTTTTTCATTTTTTTACATCAGTTTTTCTCCAAAACCTAATAAATTCCCCTCTACAATTTTCATTTCCCCCCAAAACATACGACCCCCCCTCCAAAAAAAAGTTTGTCTGATGCATATGTAACCCATTACCGCACATC